TGTTGATGCTGATATTGATGCTGCTGCTGCTGATGTTGACAATGATGTTGATGATGCTGTTGTTGATGCTGCTGCTGCTGCTGCTGATGATGATGTTGGTGATATGCAAAAGGCAAAAAGGAATAACTGCCGACTCTGGGAAGCGCTATCTGCCATGGAAGTCCAAAACAACGGCCAGCAATCAAGGGAGGGGAGGGCCGGGACATCGGCACAGCAAGCACATGCAAGTGCACGGGGGGGGGGGGCGTGAGATCCGCAAAGACCAGACCAGATGGGGATAAACTAGGATGGATGGTTTTCGGTCGGTGGTTATCGGTTGAATATCGGGGGGGCGGTTACCGGTAAAATGCAGGGCGGGGTCGAGGGACAGGAGTGGGGGCGCCATTGTTGCGACGGCCGGGTGCGGCTTTGTCGTACCGTCGTACCTTGGGTGCAAGTACGACAGACCGGAGGCAATGTCCAAGGCAAAGTAAAGCACCTCCCGTACACTCAAAGCATCATGTTTCCGTACATGGTGTACGTAAAAGTCCAACGTCCCCTGTACGTGAACACGGAATTTGCACATACACACACACACACACGTGCGTGCATGAGATTGCGGGAGGGCGGGAACCGGGGGTTCTGTGGCCTGGGGATATGTGGATGGGGGCAGCTTGTTGGTCAAATATGACATACGACTTTTCCTTCCTCTTAAAATTTGCCATAGTCCATGGCCTCCCGGCTTTGACACTCGTGCGGAATTTGTACCTTGCAAATTAACATGCATGAGCCAGTAGAGAGCTAAATTCAGTAATACAAAATTAGTCAAGTAAAAGACTGCAAAAAACATATTCTGTAAATTCCCATGTAAATCAAACAACCGAAAAAAGGAGAGTGAAACCAGAGAGTGCATTCACGCACACACCTCCATCCGCTCCTCAACGAGGAATATGTGTGGTGGTGTGAGACAGCCGCCGTACAGCTTCACAATGTTAGGGTGGTCGACCTGCGTTGCAATTTTGCACCAATATTATAAGAGTAAAAACTAGCTGATCGTATTCTGCATCTGAAATTTTATAGGAGCATTTCCTTCCAAGCAGACGAGCAGAGTGGAGTAGGATAGGGTAGGGCAAGACACGCCGCATGGATAGGGAGGGGTGTAAGATAGATAAGAGAGGGAGGGAGAGGCGCAGAAGACGGTAAGACGAACCACCAAACCACCACGTGAAGGAGATACCTACCGAGGTAGGCGGATATAGCCCAGGAGGAGGCAGAAGAGGGTACGTACTTTACGTAAGTTTACAAGAAGCGGGTAGTGCCAAGGGGGGCCGAGGGGCAGGGAGGCGGATGTCCCGCCCGCTCCCCGGGGGCCTCTCCCCCTCTCTCCATTTCCCCTTTCCCCTGGCCCCTGTACCTCCCGCCAAGAACTTGGATTTGGCTTGGCGTGTAACCTTAAGTCCCCATAGGGCCCTCTAAGTCCCCATAGGCCAACTCACTGAATATTGTATATCATCACTTCGCAATGTTGTTGTTGTGGACTATTTCCTCCTTTACTGAAGTCAGTCCAATGTGCAATCTTCCCTAGCTTCTGCACCTCACGCCGCCACCCCCACCCCCACCCACATCCATGAAACCACAAACAATGCGGTCTCTGCCCGTCCAACCATAGACGTGATGCAACTGATATCACAGTCAAATATCTGGAGCTTTACAGGTAAACCGGTGCGCTGCGTTTTGATGACGGGGTTGCGGTGACGTTGGGGTTCGTTCCCCTTTCCGACGCCTCCAAAACACGGAGAAAGCTGCCATGACCTAGAGCCCTATCACGCAGCGAAGAAAAAAACACTTTGCCACTGGGAAGTACGGCGCAGCTAAAACTACATCACACAGTCACACTCACACAGACGCACGCACGCGTACCTGTCGGAGAATGTGCAGCTCGTGGATGAGTGCCCTCACGTCCTCCTGCAGTCGTTGAGCAGGTTACAGCCGAAGCACCGAGTTAGTGGAGAGAGAAAGAGGGGTGTTTGCAGAGGGAGAGAATGAAAGATGGGAGAGAGAGAGGGCGGCGAGACAGGGAGGTAGGGGTAAAGAGAAGACGAGAAATCGGCGAACCACAAACGTTTTCTGTATTTCTTTTCGTTTCGGGAAATTTCAGAAAGTTTTACCAAAAGAGGTGCTACCCTAGTGTTTAGATTGGTCGATTGGAAAGTGACGTGTTTGTGTAGAGCCTGTACTGCAATGTTGCAGATGAATCCACATGGATAGACCAAACACCAAAGGCTAGAACAAATGGATTTGCGTGTGGGAAGTTTACTGCTTTGAGCACCCTGTCGTTTTCGTTTAGCCTTGCCTGTAATTGGCGGGTGGCGCCGTCAAAGTCGCCTCCGGCTCATATCACCTTTGAGCGTTGTGCAGCCGGTTTGCAACGGGTTGTCAAGCACTTAGCAGTATTAGGGGCCCTCAAATCCCGTAGTCCTTTGTTCTCTCTCCCCTTCTCACATTGTGATGTTCACAACATTCACAACATATCTTATAAACACGTCACCTCATTACAACGCAGCAGCAATGGTCACTGTTTGCTGCTGACGACAAAATTGTTTTAAGCAATTCGTGAGAAGCGTTTTGTGCGGCGCAAGTGACCTTGTAGGTCACCACAAGCTGCTTTGAGGAAGCTGTCCTACTAAGCTATATTACTGTTGCAGGCTGTATCCGCGGAGGGGTATTGAACATTTTCTCAAGTTTAAGCCAGGAAGAAACACCGGAAGAAACCCGCTCAGTTCGTTACCACAGGAATCTGTCCTTTTTCCTCGCTTATTATTAGCTTCAGATGCTGCAGAACCTGTACGCTAAAACATGGAATCATCAAGCAAAACGTGATGGAGAGCGCTGCCAGGCTTCATTCTAGGAATGTCGCTTTCAATACCGACGTGTCTGAGCGACTGTCTGTAGGTCAATATGTCCGTGTGGTGGTGATGTGTGTGCATGTTTTCTGGGGATCGACGGCATCACATCCGGGAATGAACCATTTCTCTCACTGGGTCTCCGTAAGGCTCTGCAAAACGAACTGGTAACACATGTTGACCCTATGACCCCGTTACCATTTATGGCTGGGCAGTCCGCCGCCTGCTATTCATCGGTGTATGCGGGAGGTTGTGTGCCTTGCGGCTATGTTCAATCAAGTCGTCGTTTATTGCACCGGGAGGGACGGCCTTTACGGCACTGCCGACATAAGCCCTCAGCCGCATTGAGCTTGCGTGGAACATGCCTGAGTTGTGGGCCCGTCTAGCTGCTTTTTAAAAAAGAGCACTAAAGTTCATTGCCGAAGGGGAACATCCCCTAAAGTTTTTGCAGCCCAAGGCCAGGAACCGAGTGCCGGCTAACCACCCTTTAGCAAAACCTGTTCCTCACTTCTCAATGAATGATGAGGAATTGTGAGCCCTCGCGCCTGCATTCCTTTTCCATTTTTATACGTTTTACGTTTGGACGTACTAATTGAGGTGTTACGTAAAATCCAGCGATGTTCGTGCGGCCTGGCCGAATGTTATCGATTAAGGCAGTAACATGCTTGGAGTGCGGCACTCGAGCCGATCGAGGTCCACTGTAACAATCGCAAACTGTGGCCAGAGCCATAATATTCGAACACGGATACCTGTATCGTCCGGTAGCAGCGGCTCTGAGGAATTCCTCGAAGCTTAGAACGTTATGCAGGACGATGAGAACACTTTTGGGATTTCCTTGTAAACAGTGAAAATTTCTGGCGGCTTGCGAGTCGGTGTAAGATTGCTCCTTTTGCAGCCTGGAAACGTTCATATTCGTTACTAGTTAGTAATTCCAGGCAATACTGTAACCTGGGCGGGCGATGATACAACCAAGCACCGGAACCAGAGCAGTTGTATACGTAAAAATTTCAAATCAATCGTCGGACTATTAGTTGTCCTCAGTTCAAATGTTTGGCCATCGATTATCGGTAACTACCATTACCGTACTCCGAGCTGCTGGACGAACTTTTTCCCACCGCTGCGACGACGCTGCAGTGCCTCTAGGCTGTTGGACAAGTCACTAACCCTCTAACCCTTGTCCCGCCCCAACGGCAGCCGGCATCAGTGCGCCGGGACCCCTAACATTCCCGTAAATGCAATCCTGTGCGAAGTCGGCAGCCCGGCTGCATACTTGCTGGATATCTAATGTTCTTTGCACCAATTTCCTTTCAAAAACCTAAGAGACCCAAACGATACTTTGTGCAGCAGCGTACTCGGGGAGAAAGGTTGGCTGTAGGAGAGGGAACGGCTTTCCGTAGTTCCCAGTTTTTGTGGGAACCTGTCGTAATTACCCCTCGTCCTGATTAGGCCATATGCTCGCCGGCTATGCTGTGTGCGTAGTTGTCCGCCCCGAGTTGGCCCTCCATCGTACGAGCCCCGATTTGACACGTCACCGCTGGGATCTGAGAAAAACATACCCGTATCTTCTCATTCAGCATGGTTTCAGTGCTGCGTCGTCGTGGTCAATATCGTCATCATGGTCAACCAAAGAAAAAGGAGGATTGCCAGATCTGGACTTGCAGAGTTGCAGCGTCAGGGTTTCCTTTGTCAGGTTTTTCGACGAACACTCGGTGGAGGTCGGTGTGGTAGAGAGGGTTGTTGTTCGGGGTTGCGACGGTTGTGATGGTTGTCCAGCACTTCAGAAGCAGACCTGTTGATCGCGTTGCTGGTGGGGATGGGTCGTGCTGGTGGCGCGCGAGAGCGAAAATTGGATCTCGCCTGCTGGGCGGACTGATTGTGCTGTTGGCGGTTGCGCTGCAAGCTGCAAGTGCGTTCCCCTTTAGGAAAGGCACCCGTTGGCCGTTTCGAAGCAGGGGCCCCGAAATCTTATAAGATCCATTTTATTATTGCTATATGGGAATGTGTTGGTGTCACATATGGCGGGCTTTGCGGTGAACACTACTTCAACTGCGGCTACCTGCGCAGGTGGAGGCTTCTGGCTCGGTGCCAGCACCTCGGCTAACAGGCAGACAGACAGACTGACAGGGGTAACGAAGTCTAAATAACACCACAGGAAAGCTCATCTGGCGGCAGCCTCCGAATTCTCCACCCTCTTGCATATCGTGAGCAAGAGGGAGAGCGGTAGAGAGAAAGAAAGAGAAAGAGAGGCGAGAAGAGAAAAAGAGAGAGAGAGAGAAAGACAGAGACACGGAAAATGCCCCCTTACGCAACACACACAAACCCTGAAAATCCCTTTAAAAGCCGCGCGACCCACTTGCAAGTCAGCCAAAGTCGACCCGGCCGTCTTCTTTATCATCTTGACAGCCACCCGCTGAGCCCTGGGAGTGCGGATGGGGCGTGTAAAGGCCGCGAGCATGTGTGCACGTCGACTAAGGGAGTTGAGGCTGCTCTAGACATCTTCTGGAACACCCTTTTTAATCAACCGCGAAATGCCGGGCTTATCCAAAGCCCATGAGTCAGCCAAGCCGGCCGGCAACAACCTAGAGACTGGCCCCTCTCCTTCCCGTCCCTCTCCTTCCCTTCCCGTCCCTCTCCTTCCCGTCCCTCTCCTTCCCTCCCCTTCCCGTCCCTCTCCTTCCCGTCCCTCTCCTTCCCTTCCCGTCCCTCTCCTTCCCTTCCCGTCCCTCTCCTTCCCTTCCCGTCCCTCTCCTTCCCTTCCCTTCCCTCCTCTTTCCCTTTTGACACGTACTTGTAGCGCCCTTTATACACCGCAGCGAAACCGCCTTGACCCAGCAGCCCCCGAGTGCTGTAGTCAACCTTCAATTCGCCCTTCGACAAGTCAATGTTCAAGTCAACGTCGTACATCGTAGCTGCTTCACCGGCCGCTGAGTCCCCGCAACCTGCCGCCTCCAGCGGCGCCGCCGTCGTCAACGGCATCAGTGGCGGTGCCGCCGCTGCTGCAGCTGCGTCGGCATCGGCGGGTGCTACACACGACGGGATATTTGCTGCCTCCGCCGCAGCCGCCGTGGCCGTTACTGCTGTTAAGACCCCCCGGTCCCCCGTTGCCGCTGCCACCACCACCGCCTGCAGAAGGAACAAGGGCTCTTCTTCGGGTTACGACATGCCGTACGACCGCCCGCTTTTCCTAGCAATGCGAGCAATGGTGGCACTCGCCGGAAGATGCGGCGACCTGCAATCCCTGAAGTACGGTGTACGGAGAACCTACAACTAAAATGGTAATTGTACGGATGGTGCGTGTACGGACTCGTCCACGCCTTTGGCGAACCGGAGAGTGGGGGCCGAAGGGTAAAACCCTGGAGGGGATAATGAGCTGCATTCCGGCGGGACTTGGACAAAGGAGATCAAGATATGAGGCGTGCCAAACCAGGACCGAGAACCCGGCAACGATCGTATGCGATACGGCGCACCTTGGCATTGTCCTGCGACGCAGCAGCAAGGCCCCTCTCCGCTGCCAGGCGCTTAGCAGCATCCTCAATATGCCGCCTGGCAACTTCGTCTACATAGCCCGCCCCGGCTGCATTCGCGTGGCTCTTTACAGATCGTGTTATGTCATTGAGTCGCTCCTCTACTGTCGCTCGGCCCTCCCCTTCTTCCTCACTTTCGTAAGAAGGCCCAGGCACGGCCCGTGGGGTGCCACTCTGGCGACCCGCTTTGGCAACGATGTGGGATGGTACTGAAACGGGGTTGGCCGGCTGGCCTCGCTGCACAGACGGCATGGGGCTCCCAGTAGTCATGGTCACGGACTGCGCTGTGTCACCGGCGCCATTGATTGAGATGCTGTCCTGGCTAGCTAGCGCAGGGGGTGGTGAAGAAGCGGTTGTTGCGATCGGAGTGCGCGCATGACCATTTGAAGACGTCGATGCCGGGGGATATTGCTCATTTCGACACTCTGGCTTCCAAAAGTGCCACCGCCACCGCCAGCGCAAGCGCCACGTGCATGCTGCCAACGCCGCAGAAAGCGTGAACGCGCATACGAAAAAAACCAAAATGGGAGAGCCACCGCCAGTCTTACTACCTGAGAGAAAAATAAAAATAATTTTTTGATTCATACGGTGTTCTCGCTCCCTGCCATCATGCACACGCTGGGAACTTCAAACCGTAATGACATCTCCCGGTGGGATATAACACCTGGGGCCAAAATTGCGGATTGCGCGACATGTCCTCACGCTTTCTGTACTGTTCATGCTTACCAGGTATATATACCGGTTCCGGTAATCCTGCGTGTCGTTCCGCAACCTGCTGCTGCCTCATCGTCAGGTGATCCGCCCCCCGAGCCCTGAGCCGTGCTACACTAAATGGTATGCATAACACAGATTCGTGTGAAGACTGTTGTACTGCTGTGCGGCTTGCTGCGGCTGTCAGGAAAAACCAAAAACTAACGTCCTTGCTTGCTACATTCCAAGACTACAGGCATTACCGTTAGTTATAGATATTATCGAGTAATACATAGCATGAGGTATTGGCATGTATGCAAGCACGTTTGCCAATATGACAATACCGTACATCCAAATTCAATTTTGCCTCCTTCAACGGTGAACACAGCAGGTCAGAATTAATGAAATGTTCACACGTAAAATCTACGCTACTAGGTGCAGCGCCTTAAGCGAACAGGATGCGCGGACTGCACGCGCCTTTAACGAGCTCGCCGCCCAGGCGAAGGTGCAGACTATCTTGCAGATAAAAAAGAGCACACGCACATCATTGGGTCTTGCGGCGTCAACCCAAGTTTCAAGGGGCGACGTGTTGATGCGCGTACCAACGTCAGCTTCAATACTTCTTGACTACAATTCTGGTCTGCAACTGCCTGCTTCTGCCCGTTGGCCCAGGTAAACATTCCACACTACCCAAACAATCTTGACTATTATCCTTTGCGGCGCCGCCCTTGGGACGATTTTTCCTTGCAGTACGGCATGCCAACCGCAGGTCCAGCCTGCTGGTAACTGCGGCTACGACGGGCCCTGCGCGCACGTGAGCGCCACGACCCCCCATGGGCAGATAAACTATGAATTGATACACCACCACCCCCAACGAAAAAAAAACAAGCGTCATTCGTGTCTATGCAAATACATAAAATAATCAACATTGCTGTATAAGCGGTAATGCCGTACATGTACGAGGAAACTTTCTCCGAGGGAAAGGAAGGCTCTGCCCCCGACCCGACCTCACCCGACCTCACCCGACCCCCCCCCCCCTTGCATGCCCCGGCCTCCTTGCCCCTACCCGGAATTAACCCTCAGGCTGCGAGGAGCTGCTACAGCCAGCAGCAGCAGTAGCGCTGACCCGCTGCCCTGGGATGTACTGCAGGCTCTAGCATTGCTAGACGGACTCGCGGGTGCGTGGGTAAGAGCCCGTGGGGTGGTGGTTGGTGGGGGTGAGCTTTTAGGGTGAAAAAGGGGGTTGGGAATAAGCTTGTGGTAATTGTGGTAAGTAGGGGTCTGCTGCTAGGCACCTACCTCCCCCAAGAACCGTTTGTCTGTTGCTGCCGCTTCTGCTGCTGCTACTGCTGCTGCTGCTGGCAGTTGTGGTGGTGGTGGTGGTAGTGGCGATGGTTGCACCCTGCATATACCCGCTCATGGTCCACAACGGAGCTTTCAAACACATGCACACACAGTCACACATATAATCATATATTCACATTCTAACCGACAAACCCGGGGCTAACCGCCAACCACCAACCACCTCGGTCTGGTTGGGTTGACGTCATCCTCCCAGGTGATGGTGGGGAGTTCTGGCAGGTCTATTGTGATGCGCTGCTCCCTGCCCCGGAGCTCCTGACACTGCCCATGTGCTGGGAGGGCCCGCGTCTAGCGGAACTGCAGCATGCGGATATCGCCAATGCCGCCAGGGCGCAACAGGTAGCCGTGTGTATGTCTGTGTGTCTGTCTGTGTGTGCGTCTGTTTGTGTGTCTGTGTGTGTGTGTCTGTGTGTGTGTCTGTGTGTGTGTCTGTTTTCAGCATACGTGAATGCATGTGAATATATGTGTGAGTGTTTCCGTATCTTTGTGCGTACCATGCGTGATGATGTACCTGTAATCGTACGGTTCTGCTGTCTTAGGAAGTACTGGCGGACGGTCTTGTTTAGGACGCAAAAAGTTTTATCTTCATTCCATTAATATTTTATTTTGTAATATAGTGGCAGTACTGGTAATAGTAGTAGTAGTAGTAGTAGTAGTAGTAGTAGTAGTAGTAGTAGTAGTAGTAGTAGTAGTAGTAATGTGTGTTGGAGGTGGCTGTGGTGGTGCTGATGGGGGGTAGGAGTAGCTGCGGTCAACGGTTTGTAAACCGGCGTGCAGTTGGTCTGTATCCTCTTTTAGGTACCCATACATACATACATACATACATACATACATATATACATACATGCACACCCATGTACATGTAAAGGCACTTGTGGAGATAAATGCATGGTGCCGCACCTCATCAGATACACACACACTACACACAACACTGCTATTTGCCTCCACCTCCGCCTCCACCTCAGGCTCGTCTGTCGTCGCTCTTCCCCATGTTCATGGAGCCCCTGGCGCCCGGTGTGTTGTAGGAGGTGTGGGCGGGTGGGGGGGGTTTGTGGGTTTGTGGGTGTGTGTGTGTGTGTGTGGGAGAATGTGTGGGGTTGGGTAAATGTGTTTTCCAAGCCCCACACCCCACACCCCCACACCCCCTAACGCTCCCACAACACTCCTCTCCTCTCCCCTCAGACGTACCGAGCTGGTTTCAATGGGCGTTTGCGTGTGTGAGGAGCCGGGCTTTCAGGTGGAGTGGGGGGGGGGGAAACATGTGTGTGG